GGCAGGGGATGGGGTCGGCGCGGGGAGCCAGAGGGTGTTTGGGGGGCACGGAGTGGCTGGGGACACCGGGGACACGGAAGGAGAAGGACGTGAGGACATGGGGTGAACGAGGACATGAGGACATGGTGAACATGGACGTGAGGACACGGGGGGACAGGGGGTGAACAAGGACGTGAGGACACGGGGGGACATGGACATGGGGTGACACGGACACAGGGTGACCTGGATGTGAGGAACATGGGGTGACACGGACACGGGGTGACCTGGACGTGAGGCCACGGAATGACATGGACACGGGGTGAACACGGATGTGAGGATACAGGGTGACATGGACATGGGGTGAACATGGATGTGAGGACACGGGTGACATGGACATGGGGTGACCAAGGACATGAAGACACAGGGTGACACGGACATGGGGTGAACAAGGATGTGAGGAACATGGGGTGACACGGACACGGGGTGACCTGGACGTGAGGCCACGGAATGACATGGACACGGGGTGAACACGGATGTGAGGATACAGGGTGACATGGACATGGGGTGAACATGGATGTGAGGACACGGGTGACATGGACATGGGGTGACCAAGGACATGAAGACACAGTGTGACAAGGACATGGGGTGAACAAGGATGTGAGGAACATGGGGTGACACGGACACGGGGTGACCTGGATGTGAAGACATGGAATGACATGGACACGAGGTGAACACGGATGTGAGGATACAGGGTGACATGGATAGGGTGAACAAGGATGTGAGGAACATGGGGTGAACATGGATGTGAGGACATGGGGTGACATGGACATGGGGTGACCAAGGACATGAAGACACAGTGTGACAAGGACATGGGGTGAACAAGGACGTGAGGACATGGGGTGAACAAGGACATAGGGGGACCAAGGATGTGAAGACATGGGGTGACATGGACACGGGGTGACATGGACATGAGGTAAACATGGATGTGAGGACATGGGGTGACATGGACGGGGGGTGACCAAGGATGTAAAACCACAGGGTGATGAGGACGTGGGGTGACAGCGACGAGACACCAGGGAGCTGGGTGCGAGGGTTTTGGGGGTGACAGGGACATGAGGCACCAGCTGCAGCCAAGGGGGTGGCGTTGGGTGACACACAACAGGTGTCAGGGTGGGCTGCAGGGTGTCTAGGGACAGGCACGGGGCTGGGGGGGGGG